ATGGGGGTGGGGGATGGGGGCAACACAGTTACTCAACACGAACCCTTCCATTAGCCAGGGCTGGCCTGACATGCAAGGTGGGAAGCCGCCTCCTAAATGACCTGATATGTCGATGGGGACGTAAAAATACTTACATAAAATAAAAAAGAAAAGTCCGGCAGCATGTCTGTACGTGAGTCTGTTCTCGTGTTGGCATAGCGCTGAGCTGGCTGTCTCTTGACTCATACACCGCCCCCCCCCCCCAACTTCCCCAACCAAAACCCAAATCCCAAGAAACTAAAACAACAACGACAACAACAATAGCAGAAAAAACAACCAAAAAACAACAAAACTTAAAAAAACAAAAAGAAAATAGAAAAGTAAATCAAGAAACAAAAAAACAAAACAAAAACAAAACGAAACGACAGCAAATTAATGCCCCCGCCAAAAAGAAAAATAATTCAAATTTAAATTAAAAAACAAGAATAAAAAAAAACCAAACTCACTTCAACTTATAAACAGGCGGTATTTTCAGACAGTCAGCATTGACTACAAAAATGTTCAACAGTAAGAACAAGAAAGAGAAAGCTTGAGCAAAGGCAAACAAGGAGACACACATACAATACAATTTAAAACAATGAAAAAAAAGTCAACTTAACCGTAGTGTCGTTCAAAATTCTTCTAGTTTTTTTTCTAATGAACTCAATTTGTTTTGTGCCCTATGTGCACGCAAAAGAGGCAAACAGATGAAAATCTCAACTTACTACTGCAGATGTTTTGTAAAGATATCCCAAGTTCGAGGTTATTGCATAACGTTAAAGTTAAAAAATCTAGAAGAGGCCCAAACACTAAAGCAGCTTACCAAGAAAGAGGTGAAGGATGAAAATCGTAGCTTACGACTGCAGATTTTTTTCTTCATAAAATGTTCGCACTTCCACTGTGCTGCATAATGTTTCAGTTCAAATCTAGCAGAGGCCCCAAAAACAAAACGTTGCCAGCTGTTCAGTGTACTAAACCCAAAATTTTGATTTAAAAAATGCAGTTTCTTACTCTGTGGTATCGGTTGTAATTGCTCAAGAAACGTTTTGTCGTACCGTATATCAAATTTTAAATGTAATGATACATAAAAAAAAAAAAAAGGTGAAATGGTATCGATTTAATTCCCCTATCAATACCTTAGGTTATTTAAGAGACGGGACCTCCGAGATAAACGTCCATCTCTGAAAGGACCGAGCCAAATGGGACGTTCGTGTAATGTGCCTTTCCCAAGGACACAAAGTCGGACCGAGCTGAGGCTCGAATCCCCGAACCCATAATCTTACGATTAAGGCTCCAGTAGCCTAACCACTAGACTACCAGCGTCGCTGTATAATCAAGAAAAGATACATAATGTTGGTACAATTGTTAAAAGAAGGAGCCCGTTTTTTCTTTTCTCCTGAAAGACGTTTCTTTCAGTGGTGAGCACATCCGACCAGAGATGGTCGAGTAGAAGCAGCTCACCCAGCAGCAGGAGAATGATGACGTTTGCCGCCACGCGCAGAGACCGCAACAGCCAGACTTTCCCCTCTCGTGCCTTCTCCTGTTCTTCCAAGATGGTTTCCTGTTGCCGGGACGAATAAAAAAAAGTATGAACACAGCACAGTTTAAATATGAGTCATTTCCAACATCGTTTTCATGAGTGCACCCCCCCCCCCCCATACCTCCCAGCTGTTTCAAAAGCTGTATCCACTCACTTCTTTGGGTATTCACTTTTTGTTGTTACTGTAACAAACATAGTAATATGAACAAACAATGAGTGAATACTCAAAGAAATCAGGTATAGCTCTAAACGAGGTTGACTACTTGCTTTGGTCAGTGACAGCAAAACAGCCTTTAACGAAGAGATTTAGTTCGAATCTTGATTTACTATTTAAGGACGTAACTGACAAATGATATGTCCGATCGACAACACACCAAAGGCAATGTTCCGGCACACTTCAAACTATCATATACATATACACATCACAAACACACATTTGCATATTAATTCATTGTATGTATGTTGTTGCCTACCTTTATAAAAATGTTTTACTAGAAAAAAAAGAGAGAAATGCAGCATAAATAATGAAGTTCTGGTTCTTTTTATAAAGACAAAGTGCCCCATCAGGGTGCGTCTTCCAGCGGCGTCGAAGAAGCAAAATGCATGTCCTCAGTGATACCTGGATACATGGAAACCTGGAGGTGTCATCTCTTTCTCAGAGGTTGATGTGCAATGACCTTCCATCCTTCACGGTCGTGAGACTGCCGTTACAGATTCTGCCATATCCAGGCCAGTCCATGTTTTTATCTTGTCAGTCCAAGTTGCTCTTTGTCTTCTCCTGGCTCTTCTGCCCCAAATCCTTCCTTCAAGCACCTGGTCTCGTGTCGTTTTAAGTGGCCGTAGTTTTGCATTTTCCTACATTTCATTTTTATGAGTTTATCAATGAATTAATGGAATTAAGATATTAGGTGAAAAAAAAGGAATGGCGTATGTGTTTGATTAGGACAGCTACAGTGTAGTAAAAGCGAAGGAACAGAACTTGAGTTGGGAGAAGGCTCATCGAAGAAGAATTCTTTTCTCACAGTTCGTGGATTTTGATAAAAAGAGCCAGTTTAGCTGTACGGTTGATCACGCAAGTTATTTTTGTCACTATGCTTCTTTAATTGTCAGAGGACTCTAGCGTAGGCGACAGCAAAAAACAACCCCAGCCCCCCCCCCTCCTGAAGA